GAATTTTCGAAAATTTTCACGTTTGCGTTATTAGGAGAACATGATTTGTAAAGAGGTCATCAACGCATCATCGACCTCCTCGCAAAATATATTCTCCTGATAATATAAATTATAGGAAACGAATTTTCGAAAATTTTCACGTTTGCGTTATTAGGAGAACATGATTTGTAAAGAGGTCATCAACGCATCATCGACCTCCTCGCAAAATATATTCTCCTGATAATATAAATTATAGGAAACGAATTTTCGAAAATTTTCACGTTTGCGTCATTAGGAGAACATGATTTGTAAAGAGGTCATCAACGCATCATCGACCTCCTCGCAAAATATATTCTCCTGATAATATAAATTATAGGAAACGAATTTTCGAAAATTTTCACGTTTGCGTCATTAGGAGAACATGATTTGTAAAGAGGTCATCAACGCATCATCGACCTCCTCGCAAAATATATTCTCCTGATAATATAAATTATAGGAAACGAATTTTCGAAAATTTTCACGTTTGCGTTATTAGGAGAACATGATTTGTAAAGAGGTCATCAACGCATCATCGACCTCCTCGCAAAATATATTCTCCTGATAATATAAATTATAGGAAACGAATTTTCGAAAATTTTTACGTTTGCGTTATTAGGAGAACATGATTTGTAAAGAGGTCATCAACGCATCATCGACTTCCTCGCAAAATATATTCTCCTGATAATATAAATTATAGGAAACGAATTTTCGAAAATTTTCACGTTTGCGTCATTAGGAGAACATGATTTGTAAAGAGGTCATCAACGCATCATCGACCTCCTCGCAAAATATATTCTCCTGATAATATAAATTATAAGAAACGAATTTTCGAAAATTTTCACGTTTGCGTTATTAGGAGAACATGATTTGTAAAGAGGTCATCAACGCATCATCGACCTCCTCGCAAAATATATTCTCCTGATAATATAAATTATAGGAAACGAATTTTCGAAAATTTTCACGTTTGCGTTATTAGGAGAACATGATTTGTAAAGAGGTCATCAACGCATCATCGACCTCCTCGCAAAATATGTTCTTCAAATCATGTTCTCCTAATAACGCAAACGTGAAAATTTTCGAAAATTCGTTTCTTATAATTTATATTATCAGGAGAATATATTTTGCGAGGAGGTCGATGATGCGTTGATGACCTCTTTACAAATCATGTTCTCCTAATAACGCAACCGTGAAAATTTTCGAAAATTCGTTTCTTATAATTTATATTATCAGGAGAATATATTTTGCGAGGAGGTCGATGATGCGTTGATGACCTCTTTACAAATCATGTTCTCCTAATAACGCAACCGTGAAAATTTTCGAAAATTCCTTTCTTATAATTTATATTATCAGGAGAATATATTTTGCGAGGAGGTCGATGATGCGTTGATGACCTCTTTACAAATCATGTTCTCCTAATAACGCAAACGTGAAAATTTTCGAAAATTCGTTTCTTATAATTTATATTATCAGGAGAATATATTTTGCGAGGAGGTCGATAATACGTTGATGACCTCTTTACAAATCATGTTCTCCTAATAACGCAAACGTGAAAATTTTCGAAAATTCGTTTCTTATAATTTATATTATCAGGAGAATATATTTTGCGAGAAGGTCGATGATGCGTTGATGACCTCTTTACAAATCATGTTCTCCTAATAACGCAAACGTGAAAATTTTCGAAAATTCGTTTCTTATAATTTTTATTATCAGGAGAATATATTTTGCGAGGAGGTCGATGATGCTTTGATGACCTCTTTACAAATCATGTTCTCCTAATAACGCAAACGTGAAAATTTTCGAAAATTCGTTTCTTATAATTTATATTATCAGGAGAATATATTTTGCGAGGAGGTCGATAATGCGTTGATGACCTCCTTACAAATCATGTTCTTCTAATAACGCAAACGTGAAAATTTTCGAAAATTCGTTTCTCATAATTTATTATTTTATACTATCAGGAGAATATATTTTGCGAGGAGGTCGATAGTCACACATCAGCTCTTTACAAATTATATTCTCCTAATATAATTCAGAAATTTTTGAACGTATTAGAATTTATTTTCGCGCTCGACATATATGTATTGTCGTTACAATACAAAATTACAACACGAAAACAATACAATTTGATTTATGCACTGTAATTCAAAGGAATTATTAATGATAGCATGATGGCAGAAATCTTTAATTCTTGAATTTCTAAACTTTGTGTGAATTTTATCTCTTATCTTTTATACATATTAATATTCTTTTACGTATACATATTCTTTTACGTATACATATTCTTTCATCATGTAAACATAGGGTTACGAGTACATTAAGCGAAATTATAATGTAAAACATGGGCAGAGAATAAAAAAGATAAAATCTTATCATTAATACAATTCGCGCGCGAGTTTTAGCTTTTACATATAATGCTTTACACATAATACAATTTAAAAAAGATACAACTATGAGAATAAATTGTTCTTAGAGAGGAATAAAAATGAGAAAGCGAAAAAGAAAGAGAGATAAATAAATTGGCACATTTTCAGAATAGATGGGCGGATGCAAAAGCATGCAAAAAAAAAGATTTATCGATCGTCCAGTATCATCGACTTTTTTTTCGTGCGAGTACGCAAGATGCGTGGCTTTTAAAGCGAGAGAAGTGGCATCATGACACGGACAATTTGTAGCGGAGTGTCAACGCGGCTGTTTCTATTTTCGTGTATGGCGAGCACATATATCTTTTTCTTTTTCGGCTTCTTCATCTTCAAGTTCTCTCCGTGCTCTTTCTTTTTTTTCTCCCTCGCTCTCTTTATTTCTTCATCTCTCTCTACCTGCTTTTTTTCTCCTTCGTTTGCCCACCGACGATGTAAATCCACGCGTGGGCGATCGCAGATCTCTCGCTTGCTCTATATCTGCCTCTTTATATCAGAAGTTTATATTTTCTCTGTTTTCTAACATGAATACAAATGACTGTATATTTTCGTTCCGCGATTTATCGGACGGATTGAGAAAAACGTCCAAGAATTATTCTTATTTAATAACTTAGCGATTTTACCCAAAATTATGAAGACGTTACAGCTACGAATAAACTGATTGCGAGTCATAAACGCAGCGCGAGATATTTTGAATGACATAACAACATTATAAAGCGTGTATAGATTGTGTCCATTGAAATAAATAAATATGTATTCGAGAGTAAAATATATACAAAATAACAAACAACATTGGATAAACATGTATACAAATTATGCCTCTTTCGATAATTATACATATATGTACATATATTTCAGAGACTGAAATATTTGATATATTTTGGTATCATCTCTGTACCACAAATATTGAATAATTATAATTTATACGATGTCTCTTTCAATAAAGCAAGTGACATTTAAAAAATCTAATTAATCTAAATTTTATCTTATACACAATATATTTAAGAAGGCGACTGTTATATTTATCGTGCATTACAAAATTAACGAAATTTATATTGGAATTATATATGGACAAAGTCCATACATAATTCAATAAAAGAGCATATCGTCGCAAAATGGGTGCGTTCTTGATTATTCGCGCGATATCGATGTGACGTCAAACGAAATGCGATGATTCATCCGGTCTGCTGCACACCAGTTTTTCTTTCCTTTCAGTCCTTTCACATCAGTCGGAAATCTGAGTTCCATTATGCATACAACGCGACAAATGCTTACAATTAGTTTATTCGTGCGTGAGTTTTGCGAGAGTGAGCTTCGAGAACGCCGACCTCAGCGTCGTTCCCGTGGATCTGCAAACTTTGCGAATGTAAAGTTTCAGCGTAGACACACCTTCGTCATGTTAATGCACTCTGATATCTTCATTAAGGGAGAATTATTATTTGCTCTATGATTATTCGAAATAACAAAATTGTTAAAATTATGTATCATATTTAGATATTATAAATTATTAATTAGATATTATAATTGTTGCATTATTAACTTGTTTCACATGCAATACATTTAGCAGTTTAAATCCTTAAATATTTAAAAAGCCTCAACATTTTGCACAAAGTAAAAATATACATATTTAAGCATTTTATTGCTATTATATAAAATAATATTGTACTTCGTTGCACAAATGAGAAAAAGATACGATTATACATAAAAAAAGAGAGCGAGAGAGAAGAGAGAAATATAAAATTTTTCTTTTCTCGTGAAAAAAATAATGAAGCGATTTTTTCTCGATTATTCAGATGAGTTTGACTCTTCGCATTTCCTTTTCCTGTTGATGTTAATAATAAATGTATTTTGCCTCAACACGCGCGCACGTTTTCTCTTGCGCGAGTAGTGGACTGGGCACGTACAACTGCTAACTGCACCTCTTTATTTTTTCCTCTCTCGGCACATTAAGACACGTACGAGCGTATCGATTCCACTTCGGCTTTTACGCACGCACTCTCGACCGTCCAAAAATTCAGAGGGAAACGCGAACGTGAACAGCTGATATACCGAATACCTCAAAGTTGACGAAAAAAATATAACGTTCGTTGTTTCTCAAATTTAAAATCAATCTTTTCCCGAGAATGAAAAAGATTATCGTCTGCCATAATTTTTTTTTAAGATGTCTCGTTAATCAAATTAAAATTGCGTTAAAACTGATTTCGAATTTTGAATGTTTCATCATTCGTGAGGATTTGAAAAAATTTTATTTCTAAAGATCTCACTCTTGTAATTCGAAAATTATACCAATGCCGGAAATTTTCGTTAATAAAAATTGACTCCAAATAAAAAAAAATAATGCTATATTCATCTCAAAAACATAAACTTCTGATTCTGATGAATCAAAGATAACGGAAGAGAAAGAATATTTATTGTTTGTATCAAGGAATGAGAAAATGGAAGTTGGTGTAATAAAATGGATATATATAGGGGAGATATATATATATATATATATATATATATATATATAGAGAGAGAGAGAGAGAGAGAGAGAGAGAGAGAGAGAGAGAGTACGACACACGAACGCATATTATACTCTTCCTGTTATATTAACAATATATTTAATCTTTATAACCGTGCCGTTAGTAGTCGGCAATTATGTGTGGCACCGCTCTCTTTAATCTATGCAATAATATAAACATATTTGCGCATAAGAAAATGTTTTATAATTTTAATACTTGATTCTAAATTACTTCACTTCTATTTAATCGTTTTCTTTCTTCTTGCGGGGAATGATTGACGGGAGGAAAATGAAAGATATTTGTGCGATATGCACACGTTATTCATTTCTTGTCTCGATAGTTAATCTTCTTCATCGTCGAAAGGATCATCGTCGAGATTAATACCCTGAAACAAAAAATAATTTAACAATATTTTAAAAATATTCGTCAATATTAATGTTTGTAAGGAGAAACATTTAATCAAATATAATTGTGTTTATAAAACTCCATAATTTCAAAATCTTCTCAAAAATGAGAAATATCGAAGCGCAAGTATTCTTAAACGCACCATCGCGAATGAATGGAAACAGAGCAAGAGGCAGAGCGTGACAAAACGTAGTAATGGTCGGAACCTTATGGTAGAAGAGCTCCGGTTCGACTCCGGAGTCGACTGTTATGGCAACAAGGCTGTAAACGAAATACGGCGTGACTGCCTCGGAGCAAACAAGCTCCTCTGGCTTCTCGCAAAAGTCTCTCGCAGAGAAAAAGAGAAAGAGAGAGGGTATACCATGTTCCCTCGCGTTCACACCAGTTGTCATATCAGGACAAGCTTTAATGATCTATCGCTGATTTTCGTGTATTACGTACACGCATGCAAACAAATATTCTTCAACACACAGAAATTAACTTGCATACAAACTTACATATGTAAACCTACAAATTTGCCTAAATTGAATTAATTTGAAAAAAATATTTTCAATACAATTTTAATATAATTTCTAGGTTTAGTTTCATTAATAATACAATTCAATCAATCAATATGATCGATTGAAATAATTTTATAATGTAAAAACTATAGCAGTATCTTGATATTTCATGAACTTTCTTTTTACATTTCTTTATATGACGCATTGTACGCGCGATTTGTTTCGTGATATGTAACATAAATATAAGCATAGATTTTGTAAATATATACTTTGATGCATCTTACATGCATATGCGATTTATATATGTATGATGTATATACTGTATCGCGCAGCCCCTTTCTTGCTGTGTTTGGTAATACTATACTCTTCTAAAGTTACGCCCATATTTAGGAGCATTAAACTTTTGCCTAATTGTACACCTCCAACCTTTTTTTCACACCTTCTTTTTCGTTTTCTATCTTTATCAATTTTATTGATACATTTGACACTATTGTAAGACATTAGATTATTATATTATAGTTAATTATATGATATTATACTCTTTGCCATGTACTTGAGAATTCTATAAAATGTCAAAATAATGTTCAATAAAATAATCAATATAATATATATTAAACTTAATAACTTTGATCGACTTTAATTTTAATTACGCATAATTAACAATATATAATTTCCTACAATATCACGAAAACAATGAAAATAAAAAGACATAAAGAAAGCAGAGTTAAAGCAATCGCGTAAATAATATATTTCTATATAAAAATATTAAGATAAATAACTTACCGTGGTATCAATATTATCATCAATCCCCAAATCATCGTCCAGATCATCATCATCCAATGTGAGAGGCCTAAAATTACTCGCCGGCTTCGTCGTTGCTTTCTCAGATATTGCTGATTGCACGGTGGAAGTAATTATTTTACTTAAAAAACTGTCTTTTGCAGATATCGAAAGATCTTGCAATCTGTCAATCGTTGCTTCGGTTGATTGCATTTCCGAAATGCTATTCGCGCCGTCCTTATACTGGAATGTGCCCGATTGCTCAGCGGTCAACATTTCTTCCAATGGCTTCCGTTCGGTATTAGGCTATAAAATTAACACAAATTGATTGGTTATATGATTTCTCTTATCCAACTCAGTAAATTAAATAATTTTATATTCTATAAATATAAGTATATATACATAAAAGTATATTTTATAAAATATTTTATAATTTAAAATATATCTTTAAAATGTATAATAATGTAAGATAATTATTTCGTTGCATAATGATATAGTGGATCGCTATGGGAAAGTTTTATCGATAAGCGGAAGATCAATTTTATACAGTATTCTATCGAGCAATAACAGTGCGATAACAAACATGGGAGCATAAAATCTTTATTATCGATATCGAGTGTGACGTGATTTTACAATGTGATTACGAGTATATATAAAAATATTATTTAACTCTTTCACGGCGCGTTGTTGTCGTAATTATACTTATCGTTTGAGATTGCGAATTGATTGAGACGAATAAGAGATTCGTCTCAGCGAGATGATTTGCATTCTATTAATATGCTTACAGTTTAATGTTTTTCGTTTAATATCCTAACACGTTATTTTAATCATGTTCGCCAATATTTTCCGCTATTTCTATACCGATATTCTAATCGACAATATTTTATAACTACATGATCTTACCGTAACAGCAGGAAATGCGCAAGCTGCAATTTTTCTTTTGCTCTCTTCACGCAAGAACTTCTCCACCTTTAACGCTTCTTTATATCCTGGGAAAAGATTCTCATACTGTTCAGGATCTGCCAAGCTCTGTCCGGCCTTTTCGCTCACTGTCGACAGCTTCTCCTTCCACAATTTGATGATGGAGGAAATTTTACTGGGTGCATATGTCCTAGCGAAGAACGCTGCCTCTGGAATTCTGTCCGTTTTGATAAGAATATCGAGACATTTGTCGACGTCACCTAGTATAAAATTCGACAAGAAAGAGATATTGTTTTTTCCCGTTTCATCCGCGACCGCGCCGAGTTTCTCTATCATGTTGGCGTTTCCCGTGCTAGTTGCTAATAATAACAAGCCACCAAAATCTTGCGCTTGATGTAAACATTCTTGTGCCAGACATAATTTTCCCTTTTGCGTAGCGAGAGAAGCTAGCTGTCGCCACTTTTGCTGGCTATTCGCTTCTTTAGCAAGAGCATGCGCGGTCACGAGATTTCCAAGCGCAAGCGCCAATTCAAATCTATGTTCGGGATCTGTCGATACCGCTAAGGCTTGTTCTTTGAAACCCTGTAACAAAAATGAAAATGAAAAAAGTCTTCAACACAAATACTCCTGTGATCAAAAAGAATATCGTATTAAATTATATACCTGTTTCTCTAAGAAATGCGCTACTCGTGTACGATGTTCCTTTGGAACGGTCGGCAATACTCTGTTGGCAGTCTCGAAATCTTTTCGCATGACCGCAGTTTGATACTCGAGTACTGATAATAATAAAGAATACGAGACGACAGATAGTTCTTTATCGCATAAGTATAATCTGTTGTCCCTTGGTACATATCCCAATAAGTACATTGGTCTGTCCAGATGAGAGACTGTGACAACTTCACCACCGACAAAGTAATTAATGCGATTGACGCTGTTGGTATAAATAAAGCAATCGCCAACCCATAAACCTGTCTTTACCACTTCACTCATCTCTGCTACCATCTGTAAAATATTTTGTTTATAAATATTAAAAAGAAAAAATAAAAAGCTTGTTAAAGTAATTAAATATAAACGTACCTCGAATGCATTTTCAATGTCCTCAGCGTTTTCTGCAGCATTAGCGATAGCATCTGCATGATATTTCAATATAAAATATTGATCTGATGTAGCTAATGCTACCAATGAGGCATTTTCGGCCCAATACACATGTGTTGGTTGTATATCTATGCGACGGATCAACTTTAACATATCCCAGTCGAAGAAGGAGAGACCGGATCCAGAAGATACACCAAGTAAAAATCCGCCAAAGATGCCTATAATTGCGACAATAGTATATTACAAAACGGAAAAACAATATAAAACCATATATATAGAAATAAAGAAAATAAATATACTATCTGCTCCGAAATCTGGCTTGAAGCTCTTCTTCTCCTTGAAGTTTTTAAATACTTTAACCGTTGTATTACTTTCTCGCACTGCATACTGGCTCGAGTCAGCCGCCCATACGAATTCTGACGCCTGTCCGAACGCCTTATTCCTCAATGCCATGGATGTATATATTATGTACTCCCCATCACCGCAAACCACCAGAAAACGACCGTTCGGATTATGCTGTATGGTTTGCGGATAAATTTCACAGGCGCCCATATCTTTGACGGCTAATGGCAGTCGTTCCCCGTCTTGTGCTTCCTCGCCCAATGCCTTCAAGTTCACTTGCTGGATTTCGCTGTGACGCGCCCATACGATCTTTCCACCCAATGAATCCATTGAAACGGCCGGTTCCTCTCTGCCAACCTTCACCATGACACTACCTTCGTCGTAGCCGATGGCAACATTATTCGAACCACGCATGCACGCGATGGTCCACACTCTCTCGAAACCATAGTTGAGAGACGATTCTAATCTGTACGTTCCGGCATGCCATATTCTAACAGTACCGTCTTCCGAAGCAGTGAGAACAATCGGTAATTCCGGATGGAAACACACAGCCGAAATATTTTGTGTGTGACCCTCCAAGGTCTGTACGCAAGTCTTATTTTGATAATCCCATATCTTGACATATCTATCATCAGCTCCCGATATTAGATATGGCTTGTCTCCGCCATGGTAATAATCCACGCAATTTACACCCTTTTCATGGCCCTCAAGCGTGAAATTAGCCGTAGGTGAACCAAGCTGCCAAACTTTGACAGTTCTATCCAGAGAAGCACTGGCAAAAGTATTGTTATCTTTTGGATTAAACACAATCTGCATAACATAATGTGTGTGGCCTTCAAATACTTGTTGACAGATCCAGGATTTCTCCCAGTTCCATAATTTGATCCACATGTCATCTGTAAAATAAAATTAAAAAATATAAACTATAAACTTTTATTATTTATTTAATGAAAGAATGACAATTATTATCCTATAACGTACCACTGCTGGTAAGAATAAATGGTTGTGTTGGATGCACCGCAATACATCTGACATAATCACTATGCGCTTCAAACGAATGAACGCGCTCCAAGGTATTGTAATTAAACACTCTGATTTGCATATCATCGGAGCCAGTAATAACCCAATTCTTGCGTGGTACAAACTTGGCTGTCCGTACTGGTAGATCGCATACTTCAAACGTTTTTACCAAGGTTTGTGTTTCATGATTCCAAATATTAACGTTGCCTTGATACAAAGAACACAGCATCCATGGTTCAGTTGGATGAAGATCGACGCTCTTCACTCTATCTGATCTGGCTGTCAGTTTCCGCTTAATGTCTAACCTAAGAGGCTAAAAGAAAAAAATGATATAAATTACATAATACACAACATATAAAATTTTGATTATTATTTCTTTTGGATTCATCATATTGTCAAAATGATAATTTTGATTAAAAACACAATAAATATGTATACACACACACACATTAAACCTACAAGATTTGCATTAATTGACAGATTCGACGCATTTATTGTAAAATTTCTGCGTGCAAAACGTGATATTTTTCGATCAAAAAAATTCATTATGCGAATAAGTCTTTCATCATCTCCAAAAGGAGCGATATATTTTGACATGATGATTAAAGTTATAAGCACTAAAGTGAAACATATACGCATGGGTGAATGTCAAACGCGCAAGTGTTTCAATGACAACATTGTTGTGATTCGATTCGTTTTTTCTACATACCATTTTGTTTCACACGATTATCCACTGGTTATTCTACTAATACTTCACTGATTGCTGTCAAATTATAGAATAAGAGGCTCCTGCTGAAAGTTAGGACGTGGCCGTTGCGATGAAAATGGCGTCTGGCATATCGTAAATGATGTTAGGTTAGATCAGCATCATTCATCATATGTCGACATTTATAATAAAGCTCGCGAAATTATTTTTCAAGCGATTTCTGCAGCAAATGTTGAATTTATTTGAAAAGTATTTAAAATAAATACTATATTAAAAATTTAATTGCATGAGAAATTATATGACACGCATCGAAGAGATAACTTTGATTAAACGCGCATTCGATAATACTGCCCTCTATTGGTAATATAGATTTACTACCTGTTTTTCTGTCAATAATATAGAGACCGATTACCGTCCTCTATTGATAATATAGATTTTCTATGTCAGTAATTCGTATTTTCGATATTGTTTTTCCAATATAAAGATCGTTTTTAGTGCGATATTTTCAAATAAATTTAATAATTAGAGACTTGGCTCAAGTAATCAAAAAATCAAAAAGAAAATGGCATAAGAGCCAACGCGCGGTTCACAGAAGAAAAGGACATTTTTGTTTTGAAAATATATTTAATTTTAACATGGAAATTTTGAAATAAGATTACATTGTGTTAATTAAAGAAAAATATAATTGCTTGAATAATTGCTTACTTGAATGAAGCCATTTTATATAGTTCAATCGAGAAAAATATATTCTTATGATTTAATTTTCTTGAATGGAAAAGAAATAATGTTAGATAGGAAATAACATTTTTAAATCAAGGATTATAATTTTCTTAAAGTAGAATTAAATAATTATATATTCTTGAAGTGACAATTACAATATTAAAATAAGACTATAATATTGTTGAAATTTAAAATTATTAAATTCTTCTAAGAAGATTATAAATTGTTGCGTATATATAAAACAATAAACTCGTTAGTTTGAGTATATAAGTTTTGATTTGATACTTATTTTTTTTCTGTATAGTTGGAACACAGAGACGCAACAACACTTCTTTCCTTTTTTAATATTAGTTTATTAAAAAACACATATTATAATACACACATTATAATAACAAAAAGCGAACGTTTCGGATCATCTTTTGATTCTTCTTCAGCGTGATGTTAATATATATTACAAATAGTAGAACGCGTCACTATCTGTAATATATATTGTTAATATCGCGCTGAAGAAGAATCAAAAGATGACCCGAAACGTTCGCTTTTTATTATTTATAGACTGGTATTCATAGTCCGATCTTACATTTAAGATCATCATAACTTTCATTCCGCCAATCAACGGAGCATTGTAGCTATTTGATTAATTGAATAAGTTCTTAAGATGATCTTAAATGTAAGACCGGAATATGAATATCGGCCATAATTTGTTTTTTAATAAACTAATATTGAAAAAAAAGAAGTGTTGTTGCTTCTCTGCGCTCTAACTACCGCGCGTTGGCTCTTATGCCATTTTCTTTTTGATTTTCAAATAATAAAAATAAAAATAATATTTTTACACGTTTCTTGTCAGAGAATATTTATTATCCTTCGTCATTCGGATTATTCGCGCCTATTTATTTACATTTTAAATTATTCCTTTTTTTCTTCTCATTTTCGTTTATAAAATAAAACGGAAGAGAGACGACTCTAATTTACGTACGTTTCAGCATGCCATGTTCTGACGATACCGTCTTCTGAAGCAATGAAAACAATCGATAGGAAACACACAGCCGAAATATTTTATGTGAACCCCTCCAAGGTCTGTACGCAAATCTTGTTTTGAATCCTATATCTTGACATATCTACCATCAGCTCCCGATATTAGATATGGTTCCACCGTAATAATTATCCACGCTCTTTTCGCGGCCCTCAAGCGTGAGGGTTTTTTAATTTAAAAAGTGACAAAATAAATTGTTTTATCATTACGATGATTTCACATATCGCTATAATAAATTAATAAATATATTATATAATAAATTAATATATTAATAAATATATTATATAATAAAATAATATATATTAATATATTAATAAATTAATAAATATATATAATATATTAATACATTAATAAATTATTACAGTAGACGACGAATTTATTATCGAGGCCACCCAATTCTTCTTGCCAATACATGTCATATTATTAGAATCAACGCTGACTAATTGTTCGATAAGAAAATGCACTACATAAAACGTTTATTTGTAATTTCACGCGTCCTCCAAAACTTTTCCACGATGGGTCACGTTTAAATTCTTCCGACAACAAAAATTAGCGAGAGATCAATAATGACGCATAATTACGATTGATCTTGCTTGCTAGTGACACGTATGCGATATACGAAATTTCTCTGGCTATCGCGACAAGAGGAATGCATAACAATACTTAATCTGAGAGGAAAAAAGAGCGGAATTGAGCGATCGGACGCAGTCGGACACGAGATTTTTCCGCAAGTTGGAACTGCATTCGAAGCTGGAAATGCAACAATGTCGTCTTCCGTTGCGCATTACGTCCTTCTTCTCTTAGGTCAGCTCAAGTTGTTAATATTCGACTTTAATTTTATTTGACACAAAATACAGATATATACATAATTTAACAATTAGAATAATCTGTAAAAAAATAAAAAATAATCTCTGTAAAAATTATAGCAGAGAAAGATACGAAACGTCTCTAATTTCTATAGGAATCGGGATGTGCATCGAAGAGGAACTTGGGCTTAGCTTGAAAGATAAGGTGGCTCTGTATCAAAATTGTTCGATTTTCGATAATCCGGATATCTATGGTGGTCCGATATGTGGTGACAATGGCGTCACATATGCCAATGGTTTATACTTAGACTGCAAAAATCATCACAGCCAGGATATTGGTAAGTTAATCCTTTATTTTATAATTAACGAAAATTGGCGACGATATGTCATAATGCGTAATATATAAGTTTAATAATATATAAAATATTTATATATTATTAAGCTAATACATTTTAAACAAGATATTCTAATATAAAAGTATACGTATTTTAGGAATATATGTTTTAAATTTTATAAAAAAATTCTCTCTCTTATGCGAAGGCAAAAGAATAATTTTAGCGTAAAATTAATCTAAAATGTTTTTAATTAAAATATTTTGTAGTCGCTACGTTGCATTCTGGTCCATGCTTGGAAAACGAGAAATATTGTAGTGTTGATCTACATTATGAGCCAGTTTGCGGTTCAGATCATAAAATTTACACGAATATGCAATCGCTTCTATGCGTTCGCCACAAACAATCGAAAGGTAACATTCTTTACCTTTATCTTTATATTTACAGGTACCTTTATATTCTCTGTGTGTCGAAGTATATGTGTGTTTATATGCTTTTAAAAAATTTTAAAATGTATATCAAATAATACTTTTAAAATGTTATATTTATTAAAGTTTTTATATTTAATAAGAGAAAAGTCATAATTTTTCAAAAGTTGTCTCCAATGTAGACTGTTTTCAATGTAGACAATTTGAGTATATCTAAATTTTTGGATCCGATAAGATTAATGAGCGCATTAATATTGATTTGTCTTCGTCGCAAGCGAAGAAGCTTTCATTTCGGCTACTGAAACTTTGACCTCGTTTCAGACTTGATAGCCGTGTCTATGGCAGACTGCCGACAGAATGATCATTGTTACAGAGAGGGCACCGAACATTACGAGGTGAATCCGGTTTGCGCTAATAATGGGCTCACGTATCAGAACGCGGCACAACTCAAATGCTTGCAACGATATAACCCTGGTAAGGGATTACGATGAAAGTTACGCGAAAGCATTTAGTTACGATTCGCCTAATTACGCCAGTAAATAGATGGGAATATCGTTTAAACTCCTGCGCGTTCTCTTATGCTTCGTGTGACGTGCCAATTATGTCGAATTAATTTGGAAAGGCTCGCTCTAAATTGAATGTTTCGCTGGAATAACACGGTTATCTTTTCGCGTTTAGCGTTTATGCATCGGAATCGAGATTTTATTGTTGTTATGACAGCGATGCAAAATTTATATTATTAATATTTATATAATTCATTTATTAATATTTATTAATTTATATTAACAAAGTATTACGAGATCATTCGAGGTTTATCATGTACAAAATTATTGTCCCAACAGTAAGGAATTAAAATATAAAATAAATATAAATAAATGAGAAAATATATAAATAAGAATAAAAAATATATATTTTTAAAACATAAAAATTAAGAAAGAATGGTAATTAATATTAAAATTCAACTTGAAAAATTAAGACTAATATTAAAAATTTTAAATCGTAAGAGAAGCGACAACTACTTATTTGTTAAATTACTATGAATCATTGAGAAATATTGCGCATCGCATATACATGCTTAGATTTTAAATCAGCGCATCTTAGGATATATTTGATTTCTCTAGAATTGCAAATTATTCACGACGGCGGTTGTCGCGTGGAATTCGTTCACCAGCTTTACGGTGCAGCGGTTTGTGACATCGCGAAAGTGAGATATGAATGGAATCCGGTTTGCGCATCGGATGGCGTTACTTATTCAAATCCTTTCCTGTTTCTCTGCCATCATTCACGTACGTAATAATTCATAATTAACAAAATAATTTATATATTTTATCGACGAATCAATCTTTCAAATCAGTTTTGTCGAAAAACAAAGATATTCAAATAGTGATACAATTTTAATTTGTAAATGCAAATTTAATAATAAATTAATAATAAATTAATTTAATTGCAGTCTAGAAATATAATTTCTCGAATTTAATTTAAATAGATTTCAAAAGAATTTTCATCTTTGTGGTTTTAATCAAGATCATCAAATATTTAAATATAAGGGAGCTTTCTCTTGACAAAGATGCTGTATGTGAATGAGTATATTTCTTGTATTTTATAATTCAGATCTAAAAGTAATTTCCAACGGAGAGTGCGACACGCATAGCCACGATTCCTGCATAGAAGCGCACACAAACACGACGATTTTGCCAAATGGCGAGTATGTGAACGAAGCTTTTACCGCGGATGATGAGGTTTGCGGGAACGACGGTCACACATACCAGAGTATACATCATTTGCAATGCCAGACACGTCACGACAAATGTAAGTCTCGCATCGCGAGATATGATACCGGACGAATAGTCGTTTCACAAAATCATTAATCATAACAGCTAATTGTTAAATACATTGTATCATTTTGTATGTAAATTCTATTTATTTTCACTTACGATCTCAATTAAATTTAAAAAATATACATGGAAAAAGTCTAGATAAACATTATATATAAATCTTAAAATAAAATCTTTGATAAAGCAATAAAAATTTCTTCATGTATCAAATTTAGAAAGAATCATCGCTCCATACGACAATTATTATTTTTCAAAATTTTTCGTCTTTCGCGATATCCATTTTTCATTATTATACGAGGGCAATGATATACTTACGTATCTCTTTCTACCGCAGATCTGTTCTTGAAGCATCATGGTCCGTGCTCTGGGCCGGACGATCATCCTTGCGGATCGATCCCGGAAGAAGATCACAGACAACCGGTGTGCGGCACCAACGGCAAGGCCTACATAAGTCCAGAGGCTCTCTGGTGCGCCAAATTGCGCTCCCCGGCAGAAGGTGAGACTTGTAAATCAGCATATCTGCAAATTTTACAGAAAATTTCTTACTCGCATTCAGCAACTGCATTTTCATTTCGAGTTCTTCCTTTTAACTTGTATACGTAGCATAAAATATATGTTTCATTCGGTGGGAGTTTCAATTTTTGCCTCGACGAAGATATTATGGATTTTCATCGCAACAGGAAAAGCGTAATCTTAAAGTAATTTTCATGTCTTACTATGATGGCGAGATAATATTTCGCGGCTCTTTTTTTCTGCGCGCATATTAAGATACCGGAAAAATTTTACGGGTAAATTCTATTCAGTGACTCGAAATTACGTAGTAGAAAAGTCACGATATTCATGACTCGATCTCGACGCAATCAAGATTATATTTCGCGTTTACTCGAGTATTGAAAAGTAACGAATAAAGTTGTAAAGAATACAAGAGAAAATTATTCGTTATATTAAGACAAAAGCGTTTTTCGATCGAAAGACAATTGAATTTTTAATCGAATAACAAGGAATCCTATTTTTGCAGATATTGTTTACAAGCACGACGGTCCCTGTTAACGAAGAGATTGTAATCATATGATGGAAGACCAGCCATTATTTCGCTTATGCCTGTAAAATATTAAGAAATATATTAAAATATCTGTAAAAGTCAGAAAAGTCTGTATTCAAGGATCTTAATATAAGCATAGATAATTCGAAATTTATGCTGGTGTGCAATAAGGATCTTCTTTTTTGAATTGACGCATTTGTTAGATCCTTCCCATATCATATAACATAATATGAAATAAGAATTTCTCGTTATAATAAAAATAAGAATTTCTCGTTATAAAAAAATAAGAATTTCTTAATTTATTTCCAGTGAATTATTTCAATCCAATAGAAATTTGTGAAACGATTTACGAAATATTTGAGTAAATAAGTGACAGATATTGAGATATTCATAATCATTTAATTTTAATTGAACATATGGAGAACTACAGTCAATATATGTTATAAATACTATGTAATTTTCAATCTTTAGTGAAATTTGATTAAAATATTGTCTTCTTAGATTACAAAATTGAACTAATGTTGCAAGAATACGTTATTAATTTTAAAGCTCAAAAATGAACAACTTTAGGGAAAAAAATTTTATATATAATTTAACTAAACTTATATTATTTAACTAAACCATCATTATATTACATCAGCTATTTAATTTAGAATATCATTGTTTATTTTGACTTTGCAATGATTTATTGTCACTGTATTGATGTTATTTTCTTGGAAAATAAACATATATAATACTTGTTGCTTAAATATGACCTTTCAACAAAGTACGGGCCAAAGCATATATATTCGCAGTTCGCAGATCGTTATTAATTGTCAGTTGAGTGTCAGCTATTTGAATTTCAAGAGTGAATTTTATCGAATGTAAAAAAATATCTTATTACCTACTAAGCGATTATTGTATTATATCTAATAATAATCCCTTAGTATCTCTTGGAAAAAATGTCTCGCTTTTCATTACTGTAAGTCATATTTTCTTTTAACATTATTTTTTACTGGCAAATCATATATTATGTTTATTAAATCAAAGCTTAATTATATCCATATACATGTTAGATTTACATAATTACATATGCGATAAGTAATGAATAACAAAGAGTTTGCATAATAAATAATGTCTTATATGCGAGTTTCTAGTTTTATAATAAAAGAATAACGATAATAAATTAAGACATTTTGTTTTTCATTACTATAAAATACTCTTGAAACTTTTGAGATTATGTTTTCCCATTTGGGCAATTTTAACGGCTGATTGTTGATTTGATTCTCGCATTTCCAGACTATTCTATAATATTCAAAATATATGGCATGTCATGTACACAAATGATTATATTTTAATATTTAAACTTATCGATGGCAACGCCATCGATAACAAACGCAAGATTCGAATGCCAACAACTTTTGCAAAAATAGCATATGCATCGTTCCTTTACATCATTCGATGAACATTCATAAATGAATCACGATTTTTTGCAGATATTTCAGTATAATTATCATAATGGTGTTTGGCATTAATGGCCATATATACATGTATGTACCATGTCAAAAATGCCTTATGAATTATACTATCAATGAAACATACAAAGGTAATGAATTTTGTGAGGAATGCATTTCAAATTATAATGATTTTGGTAAGTTAACAAATATTAACATAATATAAATAAGATCATAATATCAATCTATTATGATTCACTTATAATATACATTATTATAATTATATATCGCATACGATGAGAAAATTTGAATCGCAATTGAATATTTCTTCGCATTTGAAACAGTTTAAAGATAGGATAGATTAATGAGATATTGCATCAATTAACATAAAAGCATTTTAGAAAATTATTTATAATCTAATAATAATCATGATGGAGTTTTGTAATACACAAACCATTTATTTTTTAATATTTCTATTAGAGGTTTATCTTTTATTTATATATTTTATACGTATTTTTGCCGTTATTATGCGTATTTTGTTTAATTAGTTCCAAATTTAAACTTTTTTATTTATAATATATAATTACAACCAAATATAAAAAACAATATATATATATATATATATATATATATATATATATAGAGAGAGAGAGAGAGAGAGAGAGAGAGAGAGAGAGAGAGAGATGTAAATTTTAATTAGTATTATTCCATTTCTTATACATTTAGATTATATCTCGAAGATACTAGAAGAACTTAAAAAAATTAATAGAGATAGTAATAATCCTTGCACTAATTTTTACGAATACATATGCGATACTTGGGATAGCGCCGTTGGCAGATTTAAATCCTATTGGTCTACCGCAAACTATCATCAGTTTGAGGTCTATTATGAAGTGAAACGTACGTACTTGTATCTCTCTGCTATGTGAAATAATATGTAATAAAAATCTTGCTACAAAGATATTCTGAAAAGTATCTTAGCAGTATTGCAATCGTCCTGAAAATTTAAAATGGTAAAGAAAATAGTACTATAATTTTACAAGATTCTTTTTTGTAGGACTGTTGGAAAATGAAAATAAATATGATAATTTGCCATTCATAAAAATGGCCAAACGATATTATCGCTCATGCATGAACGAAGGTACAAACTTATATTATTATTATTATTATTATCATTACTTATACTATTTTTATTTTTTTTATTTTTTAGATTATTCTTTCTTATTATTAATATTCGCCCTATAATTTCAATATTTCTAACTCTATAATATTAATGCTAAACAATTTAAAAGATTCCTTCTTTTGCATCAATTGCATTGCAGATGTTCTTGAAGAGAGAGGTTTGAAACCTATGCAACGAATGTTGAATGCAACGGGAGGATGGCCAATTATAATGTCTGAAAAAGAGTGGTATGCGCAAAATTACACTTGGCAAAAGATGGACAATGATTATTTTCAATTGTACAACTTTTTCATTCTTTTCGATATATCATATTTAAATGATAATGAAAATTCTGGTATATTTATGGTATATATATATATATATTGTTATTTACGTTATATATGTACTTATATGTTTTTGTGTGCGTATATGGATATGTGTGTATCGTAATACTTATAAGCTTTTAATTACAACGGCAAGATTATAAGATTTGCTACATATAACATGGTATACGTTGAAGAATAAAACGATAACAAGTACAATATTTAATATGATTACAGATACATCCCACTCTTCACAATCCTCTTGATAACAAATTAAAGAGTGATAGAGAACAAACGCAGTTCATTAAATTGAAGACCCTAATGAAGGTAGTAGAAGCTTTCGCAAAAGACAAAGGAATTCAAATTTCATTCAAGACACTACGCAAAGATATAGTAGAATTAAATTCATTCGAAACAAATCTTAAAAATGTAAATATTCACTCTAACATTGTAAGATAATAGACTTTTCAATATATAATATGTGGTAAGAACCTCGAATAAATCTAACTAATTTCCATAGATTGGATATAAAAAGAAAATCCGTGCAGATGGAAATAAAATGACAATCGCAGAATTACAAGAATTTTACGATCTTGTGGGAGTTTCACAAGCTACACAGAAGGTAATATTAATATAAATATCATTTTTGCAAAAATTACTTTAAATAATTTAAACATTTTCTCATTATTATTATTTCATCTCAATATCATTATTTAACAAAATTATGTAATCACATTTCTATTTATTGATGTTTATATTTAGACACGAATCTATCGATATCATTTCAGATTAATTGGTTGGATAAAATACAAATTGTTTCTAAGTCTCTTGGCATAACTATAAACGCTTCGGAAACTGTTCTCGTGTTTAATAAAGAAATTTTGCACGAATTGGTATACTTGCTAGGTGCCACACCGCAACATGTAATCGGTAATGTAATTTTAAATAATATTTCAATCAGAGAAATAAAAATTTATGCTTAATTATTTTTCCACAGTGAATTATTTACAGTGGCATGTTATGAATACATTTTTGGGTAAGTTGAATAAACAAATGAGAGATATTCAATTGAAGCAATATTTTTTACATAACACTGATGACATTAAAAATTACGATACGATAAATGTTGAGGAACGACGAAGGTGAGTTGATAATGTTAAAAAGAATGTAATTTTGGATTTTTTAGACGAAATGTTGTAATAAAGTATACTTTTTTAACATTGCAGGTGGTTAAACTGTATTAAGGAATTTCAGATAAAAGATGCCTTGTCTTTTCTTTATATAAAGACATCTATTTCAGCAGATAAAATACAAGATGTAAATTTTTACAAATAAATCTCTTTTTTCTAAAAGTGTTTATTGAAAATAAGAAAAAATAGGTTTTTGGAAAAATTTATTTTTGTTAATCTCTTTGTTTAAGGTATCAGACATATTTAATGATATAAAAGAAGAGATGATGGATTACATACAATCCTCAAAATGGTTAAATAAGTTGACGAAAAATTATATGACACGAAAAATTTACGATATATCACTAAACATAGATTATTTTGAAAAATGGTACGATAATCAGACAGCACTCACCGAAATATATAAAGAGGTAGGACTCAACTTATCAATTATATATAAAGCTAATTTGTTTGTTATACAATGTTAAATAATGTTAAATGTAAATAACCAAATTTCTTCTAGTTGGAAATCGATGACAATTATTTCGAAAATGTGTTGACTACTATAAAATATCGCAATATAGTAAAACAGAGAAGCTTTCGTGAATCTAAGCATGGAGATAAGAGTTTACACAGGTTTATTTTTTGTATTACTAAACATTATTTAGTTTTAACTAAACATATGTTCAATTCATGTATAAAATACTATATTATACTTATAGATGGTCATTTGATTTTTTATCGGACAAGCCCATTTATGATCAGAAGTCTAATATCATAAGTGAGTTTACATTAAATAAAATAAAATATTTAAATTACATAAAATTCGACATGCAATACAAGACAAAATTAAAATAATATGATATTTAAATAATAAAATATAATCCTTAATATTGTATGAAATAATAATAAAACATTATGTTACATAAAATCAGTATATGTATCGTAATTATAATACTTTCAGATATACCTGCTGCTACAATGAAACTTCCGCATTTTAAACCTTACGAATCAGTGTAAGTGCATAAACTAAAATGTTATTTACTGTTAATGTAAAAGAAATCTATTATTTTACGACTTGAAATTATAATTTGTCTTTCAGCGTCACTAATTACGCTAGAATAGGTTCGATTATTGGATATTTGATGGGTCATTATATACATTTAAATATTGGTGAGTTTCAATAAATTTTCAACGTTTATCTCTTTTTATTTTATGAATCTTATAGGGTCATATTTGGATGAATATGGGAATTTAAAATTGAATACCGGAATTAGACAAGCTTATGAAAGAAGATCGCAATGTATCTTGAGATCACTTGAACATTACCATAATATTATGCTGAATAAAACGAACAAGAATCCAGAATATATTCAAGTATGTACATTATTACAATATATATTCAAGTATGTACATTAGAATATATTCAAGTATGTACATTATTACAATATATTAATTTAAAATAAAAAATTGTCTATTGAGAAACATTTTCTTACATATTCCTTTTCAAGTGGAAATTAAGAATCAAAACATATACAAGTTATATACAAGCTATAACATGTTATGCGCAGTATATAACAGTGATTAGCTTTTAGAATTTTATATTTAACAAGTTCTATAAATTCACGCTATTAAAGTTTTCATTAAAATTTATTTCAGATGTATACAAATTTTATTAAGAATGAAACCATTGCATATTTCATTGGCACACAAATTGCTTTCGCAGCATTCCAAAGAAAAAAGCAAAATTTATTTAATTTACCAAAATTACTAAGTGACTACCGAAATTACAAAGTCACAATGGAAACTGTTAACCTATCAAAATTATTAATGACAAGTATAAACCAAGAACAATTGTTTTTTATTCATGATACAGAGGTAGGTTGAAAATATGTCTAAGTGCTGATATATTTGTATAATAGATTTATAGACGCACATTTAAAAACTCCTTTTTAAACAAAATTTGTATATTGAAAAAGAAGATATGTTTAAAAATTTCTTTTTATAATTATATAAATTTATAATTAAATTTATTTTAATTTATTTACTTTGCAGCTAACATGTGGGGCAATGAATCCTTACGACGAAGTTAATAATGTTATTTATAGCAACAGTGCTAAAGAACTAATAACCAGCATTTTGTCTAATATAGAAGCTTTCTCTGAAGCATTTAATTGTCCAGTAGGCAGCCCGATGAATCCTAAATTAAGATGCGAAAACTGGAAAGAGGCGACAATTGAAGAACATTTTTACTATGGTACAGATTAAAAAATCGGATGACAACTCTGATTGACATATCTGATAAGACACCATTATTGGAGTCCAGATAAATGTCTAAAGTATCATATTTAGAAAACGACTGTAGGAAAAGAAGTGTACTTGTAATTATTTGTATTGATACGCGCGCATATATATGCGCGTATTTTATCGACGTAAATGGATGATTTTTTTGAGTATCTTTTTTATTTACTTCGAAAAAAATCATGTGTTTGACGTTCCCAAAAAAAAAAGTTTATATCTAATTATATATAATTATATATAATTATATCTAATTATATATAATATAATTATGTAATATAATTATATCGAATTGTATATAATTATAATGATCTATAATCTATTACTCTATTATATCATTATAACAAAATATTTATAACTCTATGTCGAATTGTGCAAAAGTATTTGGCATAATATTCGAAAAAGAAAATCTAATATAATTCTGCAGAATTCGATATGAAGTTATAAATCTTGAGTTATAAAAACATATAAATGATAAAATAGATTTTATTATACATAATTATATATAATTAGATATAAACTGTTTTTCCCGAGTTATTATACTGGTCCGACAAAATTTCGAACGCAAACATATATTTTTTTTTGTATAAATCATATAAAATCATCATATTTTTAAAAATATTATTTTTCATTCTTTTTTAACGCACATTATATTATAATAATGTACTAAAATGTAAGATAAAATATATTTAATTATATACATATTATAAATAACAAACTTAACGTATAATAAAGGAAATAGTGAAAGAATCATTATTGTTTTGTTGTAAAAGATTTCTGATACTATTAAGAATATTTGCGCAGCATTGGCGACATCGCATGAGAATGACAATTGTTTTGTTCCGGAGAGTTCTCGACCTTTTTTTTTAAAACATCTGATATTTCACATAGCGTGATCTGACGTGATGTAATCTGACATGACATGCTAGATGGACATGATTGTAAATAAAATTTATCATAGAGACCATACACGCAAACTGATGATATATTTTCAAAAGACGGCGGTGCATCTCTTCTTTATGGCATTACCAAATTGATGTTCATAAACGAATTATTTGCATTTTACAAGTATTTCAGTTTAATCATCGTATAAGCATTTTGCCTCTCCAACAGTAGCTTACTCGATTACAAATATCAAATTACGAAGATATGTTTTCATCACCTTTTATTAGTTGACATTAAAATATCTTTTAAACGTAGAACAATAAATTAAAAGCAAAATGTATTTATCAATCCCTGCAGCACGATTTCCATGAGTACGCTTGTGATAATTGGGAAAAAAACGATTCTATACTATTAGATTCTATCTTTACTATATATCAATTAAAATTATTGATAATGAAGCAAATCCAAAATATGGAGTTTATAAAATTCTTATAAAAGATACATGTATAATTACTTAATGAATATACTTTTATTATTTAAATAACAATTAAATACAAACTAATACAGATGTTCTGATAAATATTGTTACTTGTAATCGTAAAAATTTAAAACAAATAATAATATGTCAATAACTTTTTAAAGGAAAGATTTTTCTTAATGTAATATTTTTTTTATTTATGTGAAGAGAGAGATTATTTCGAAAGGTCATCTGCAGAAGTATCCTTTGTGATACATGTATGTGACGGTTCTGTAAAAGGCAAAACGAAAAATGTACGAAGAAAAAGAAACGATCGGCAATAGTGCAAAAGAGACGAGAATTCCCGAATAATTTATGTCTCATTTTTAAGAGAGGTTTTTATCGATTTATTCAATAAAGGTACATCGAGTCGCGATATTTCATTCGTTTTATGTATAAGGTAATAATATCGAGAGATGAATTTTTAAGTATATAGATAGAAATATAAGAGAGAGGACAATTTTTATATAAAAATATTTTTATAATAGCTTGCATAATTTAATATAAAATTTCGATTATTCTCTAATTATTTACCGCAAAATTCCTTCGCATTTTATGTACTTGGGTGTGATATTTTTTTTTTATATCTCAGTGTATTATTTTAGTATCTTTTTCTTTTTCTCTAAAAATCTATGACATTATTATAAGAAATATTTGATAAAAGTGTGTGATTGCGATATTAAATTGTAAATATCATCTTTCTATCTAAAATGCGGTATTTTATCAATGATGGTCACCGTTTTATTCTCCAAATAATATTAGATGTACTCGAGAATGGAGATATATCCAGCAAGATGGATCAAGGCTATGTCGACGATAGATAGTTGCTCCACAAAAAGCGTGCCATGAATCAAAGGCGAAAGTCAAGGAAAAGATCACATCTTCTCGAACCTCTTTTCTGACGAAGAAAGTAATAAAGCGAGGATATATACAGCAAGTAAAGTCTCTTCAAGGTTTCGAGAAAGGTCTCCCGGAAGGTCTCGATGATCGGATTGTGATAACAATCTCTCGTTTGAATAATAAATATCTATATTTCTCGCGTAAAGATTTCCAGTGTAATTGTCCAGTATTTGTTCCGCGAGTCGATATTAGATCTCGCAAACATATTCTGACATATTCTGACAATATAATTTGCACTCGTTAAATTTTAATTGCATATTCAATTTCCGCGTTACAGTAAACACATTTGCGTAAGAAAGATTGGATCTTTTTCAGTACGTACTTTATATCTCTCGATTACATTTTACTTGACTGGTACTGTCGGAGTGTGCACCGTCTTGCATTTTTTTCCTCTCATTTCCCACAGAGAGATCTGGGTCGAGTCGCATCGTCGAGTATTCACGAGGAATAGCCGGGTGCATTTTGCTACCTCTAAACGAAAGAATTCCAATTACTCCCATTCCGCTACCGCATCTATTTAGTTTGAACAACCTCTTCTATTGCAAAATGGAACAAGAAATATCAAGAGAATCCGATAATTAGCCTATATCCATTCATCGGTACTAAAAAGCCGGATTGAGATAACAGAGTTAGAGAAGAAATCTTACGGAATCTTGCGTTTGAAAAATTTGACAATTTTATAATAAAAATAATACATAAAAAATAAAGAAAAGGTTTGAATTTAATCAAAAAATTAGTCAAAAAAAAATAACACAAGTACAGTTTCCAATAAAAATACTTTAAAACTGAAAACAAACAGTATAAATATTTTCTGCAATGAAAATATGTTTTGATTAAAGGATATAAAAACAACGAAGAAAAAAAATATTATATATTTTGACAAAACATTTCTTAATAATATAAAATATTTTTTATCAAAATTTTATCATATTAATCAGTAATCGTCAGGTTACAATAATTTTGCTGAATATAAAGCTCATTTTAGATCTTATACGAAATGTTTCTCTTCCCATGTAGTAATCGTAATTTTCGCGCTATTAATAGTACAGCATTAATTTTCTTTTCGCGTTAAACAAAATGACACATTTTATTTCGAATGACTACAAAACTTGAAGAAACATCTTTGTCATCATCAAGACAGTCGATTGTGACTGAAAAAGCTAAAAAATCGAGGATTGGATTTGAATAGATGAATAAATCAGTATATACATAGTCAATAAATCATGAATCCTCGAATAATTAAACATGGATGTACAACGAGCGAAATTCTGAATGCTGTAATTTCGTGTAGTGAATCAGACGTAATTTTTCTTCTCCACAATTATCGATTTCCTGCCTTAATGTTTGTGCGCATAATACAATCTAGTAAAATCTCGTTACGACTAAATTTTCTTTGGCTCTGTTCATGATTTGCGAATGAGATGTGTGGCGTGTTGCAAATTAAATTTTTCCTTGAGCGATTTCTATGAAAACAATTTAACGTTGTGGCAGAATTATTATCTAATATTGCACGTTACTCATTTAAAGGAGAAAAAGTTGCAATACAGGAAAAGTCAAGATGTTAATATATATGTATAATATAATATTAAATGTCATATGATATTATGGAAAATCATTCTCACATCAAAAAGTTTTTTAAACGCCTGAAAGAGAGAGAGATGTTCTTTCCAAATTTAAGTTATTTTATTAGTTAAAACACGCATGTCTTGTTTTATTCAGATATGATTTAATAATTTTGTTCGATTTTCGTTTTTTTGCATCAGTATTATTCCTTATCATATCTTGCATTCATCATGTTGATATATAGCTTTTTCGTTACAAAAATTTTTATTAATATTATAAAAAATATTACATAGAAATTTTGCATAAATATGCGTGTTAAATCAATTACAACAACATGTTCACATTCTTATACAAATTACAATGCATCTCTTGATGCATTATAACGTACTTCCTAGTTGTGTTTTCAATTGTGTTTCCTAGTAGTAGTTGTTTAATGTGTTTTTCTTTTCAGGTTTTACCCACAATCCCACGCATTAGACAATTAATTCTTACATTGGACGAAATCGCTTAGCGTGCCGAGCAATTAAACGCGTGGCCTCATGTAATTATCACATCAAGCCTGGTTTATTAAGGCTCCGGAGAGAAGATGGATTACCTCTTTTACTACTCTATTAAAGAACCTTTTCTTTTCCATTTCTGGTCCATTTTCAGAACGTAACCTTCGGTTTTTGCTACGAATTTGCTACTGTGGTATGCTCGTGATGAATCGAATAGAGACATCCCTTTGACGGCTAAACGCGATCGTTAGTAAAGATTTAGCTCCCTGTTCGCGTTGCTCATTCAGCGTTAAATATAGATATTCAATCTCGTATTTCATTTATCTAATATGATTGTATCAATTCGTTTTGCGTTATTAATCACAATAGCGTATTATCAATCCCATCAAGTTTAATGATATTTCAGATTGTAGATTATAAATGTTAATTTTTTTTTATTAAAATAAGTTGCGACAGAAGTCTCGGATAGTATCTTGTGCATCTGGGACGCGAGTACTCCAAAGATAGTCCTTGGATCAATACGAGATAACATTCAGGCAGCTAGCATTTAATATTAAAAATCGTACAATGAGAAAGAATTTTGCGAATGATCATTTTAGCGTATGATTTCAGCGCGAGAAATGTTGGAAAACAGTCCAGACGCATCCTATTCGCAAATTATCTCTCGTACGATCGTCGAAATGTCATACGTTCTAATCGTCCGGATAATTGCAATAACACAACTTGCAGGGTGCAACAATCGGAAATTTTTGTCAATCAGTCTCCGATCCGATGATCACGCAACAGAGGAAATTGCGGAATGATTGTTTAGCCTCAAGAAAGCGGATGGAGTGT